CATATGAACATTCAAAATGCAGCAAAATTATGAAATTCCATATGCATTTTACCAATAATGCTTGTGTACAAATGATAAACCAATCCTATATCTTTCTATTTTTATCAATGCTTGGCATTTCATTGTGCAATAACTTACATATTAACTAAAAATAAAACAAATATTATTGTATAACCTATATGTTCATCTACAAAACTCTATATTTATTTAGTGTTCAGAAGCCTTCTTACAGACATTTTCCTAAGCACAACTAAAAATAACTATAGTAGTACATAGAAATTATATAGTAATACTATAGTAAATGTTACATTATATTTAATAAATATTAATTAAGTATAATTAAATTAATTGTTTCATTATTTTAAAGTGTCCTGGAACATCTGGAGCATGACCTGAGGCCTTTGGTCAGAGCCTTTATAATACTAAACAACTGTATTTTTAGATATTTCAACAACTATTAGCTATAATAAAATACTATAAGAAAACTACTAATAAAATAAATATTAACCTATTAAATAGGTGATTAAAACTAATAAAATAATCTATAAACTATGTAAAAATATTAGAAAAAATATAAAATATAATATAAAGCTAAAAATAAATATATACTAATATAGAAAAAAAAAAATTCTATTACAGTACTAAGGTTTAGATAAACTCTACAAGAGCAAGTTCTGTTAATAATAAAAGATTAAATGTGAATAGTTAGTTAGCAGGAGGCCCTTTGGAGCCTTACAGCCAGATAACATACTCTGAAATATGTAATGACTTGATAGATATACAGAAAGGGAGGTCTATAATAGGAAAAACAACACTTAGATATATAGAAATTTGTATGCAATTTGTCTAATGCAGTACAAGAATCAGAGTATCTAAATAGGTAATCTTCTAATAGATTGCAGGTATAACAGCTAGTGTAAAACCTGCTGTGCAGGCAGACTACTTAAAATAGACAACCAAAAGTTGCATGTATGACTAGTTGTATACTTACTATATACAAGTTATATAAACATGATTAAAATCACAATAAAGGCAATAGCTGCCAATATAAACAGTCTTAGCAAAAGCAAAAAAAAAACAAAAAAAGATTATAAAAGATTTTTACAATTTATATAATATTTTTTTTGTATTTAAAAATTAAATTTTATTATTTTTTAGATTAGTAACATCAAATTTAAATAATGTTAAAAACATAAAAAACAAGTATAATTTTTTTATAAAACATACTGTTATTATCAAAAATTTGCTATTAAAAATTAAGTTTTACAAGTTAATTTTTCATTTTATATTATTTAAAAAAATTTTACATTTTATTTTTTTTATTATAAAACTAACAATTTTGCTATTTTAAAGTTTATACTATTAAATAGAATCAAAATTTTATACTAAGTTAAAGTTAAAAAACTGTAATTATAATAATATTTTATGATAAAAACTTTTGTTAATACAAAAAAAATAGTTTACAGTTAGATTTTAAGCTATTGTGTTAATATTTTTTTTTGTTATATTGTTTTTTTTGTATTACACATGTTTTAAAATTTAATTGATGTTTAAACAGATAATTTAACTGTTAATTAATTATAAAGATTAAAAAATTAATAAAATTCTTAGTAATATTATTCTATTAATTAAAATAAAATTAAGGTAATATTTATATGAAACTAGTAAAAATTAGTAACAAACTTAACTAATAAAATTAGCAAAATTAACAACCTTGAATGTATATTTTAAATAATCTTTACGCCATCTTTGCTAAAGTTATATTTATTAAAATATATATAAAAAAATTTAACATTACAATATTTTTTTTAATAAGGTCCTTCATTTATTATCTAAAATATACTTATAATTTGAGAAAAAATAATTTATATTTACATCTAAAATAGGAATTCACATAAAAAAAATCAACATTAATTTCTTGTTTATCAACTACTTGAGTTTGAAATATAGTTAAATTTGTTAATTTGTTATTTTAACAGGTTCAGTAATTTGTTTTTGTTTGGTTTTTAAATATGAATCTAGATTATGTTTTTTATAATAATTAACAAAACATTTGCAAAAAGTCAATAAGCTTTCATAAAAATCGTTTTTGTCTAAAGATATTTATTTAAAAACAGTGTTATAAAGACAATTTATTTCTTGTGATATTATTATATAAATCAGATCAAATGTAATATCAAAAAATTCTTTTTATAAATCAATTTATTAGACCGTACAAAATTAATTAATTGGTTTCATATAGTGAAAATAGAAAACTCGATCAGTTGAACAAGTTGACAACTAATTAATTACATTTTTTTAAAAACTAAATTGATTAATCGATCAGTTGATTAATCGTTCGTTCAATTGATTAGTCGATTAATGGTTCAATTAATTAATTGATCAGTTGTTTAATTAATTAATTAATTGTTGTTTAATCGATTAGTCAAACAACTAATCGATTAGTCCAACAGCTAATCGATTGAAGAAATTTTGATAATTTGTGTATAACCGGCCGGTCAAATTTTGAAAGCTTATAAAAAAAATTTTTTTTAATAACCAGGTGGGTTTTCAAAAAATTACTTTCCAAAAATTTTATAAAATTTATATATGAAAATTTTTTTAAAAAAAACTGGCCAGCTCGTCGGGTCTGTTCAAAAGTTTCATGTTATGAAAACTAAGATATTAAATTTGTGACCTTATTAATCAATTTTATTAATAAGTTCTCTATACCGAAATGTACTATATTTGGGGTTGTTAATGGAGTGGCATACTCCAGAGCCACTCCAGAGTGAGCCCAACCCAAGTTGGAGTGGGTTAAAGATATGCCTAAAAATCTGGAGTGAACTGAAGCAAGCCTGGGTGTGAGTCCAACCCAAGCTAGAGTGGGTCGAGGAGTTGTTTAACCCAACCCATTAACAACCCTCGACCCTATAAATTTATTAACCAATCAGTTAAAGATAATGATCACGTGATTAGTGATGCAGCTATAATTGTGGGTGTAACGGCAAATAAATCAGTAATTTAGATCGATCATTAAAGCAAATCTTAATAAACTGTTTTTATCATTATGCCTGAACTCATTAACGCAAATCCAACGATCTACACACCTTCAAAAACTTCTCACCGAATCCTAACAGAAAAAGAAGAACAAGAGGAGTTTGAAGACATAATTGATTCCCAAGAAGTATTTGGTCGGTATAATTGAAAAAATACTCTGATCTTTCTTTTCACAAATTTATAATAATAAATACTTTAAAAAAAAATAATAACAAATTTATACAGATCTAATCCGTTCAATATCAGACCCCGAACACCCATTAACTCTTGAAGAATTAAATGTAGCACAACTTGATCATATCAAAGTTGATGATGCTAATGCTTACATTAGCATTGAATTCACACCAACCATACCTCATTGTTCCATGGCTACTTTAATCGGCTTATGTATTCGTGTAAGGCTTTTACAGAGTTTGCCTGAAAGGTTTAAAGTTGACATTATGGTTAGAAAAGGTACTCATCAATCTGAACAAGCTGGTATGTATTTTTAATTATAGTTTGGAGAGATTATTTATTTTATTATATACACTAATAAAGAATGGTAATTATAAATAGTTAATAAACAGTTGAATGATAAAGAACGTGTTGCTGCTGCTTTGGAAAATAATCATTTATTGGAAGTTGTAAATCAATGTTTGTCGACTGCACATAGACGTGGGAATGCTCGTCGTTAATTCTTCTGCGTAAGCAAAAATATTTGATTACTATGATATATTTGATTACTATATGATATGATAAAATTATCATTCAGTGATCTATTTTTGCTAAAGAAAACTTACGCAGAAAGAATTAGAGTTTAGAACCGAGTCACCCGTGTCAAAACGGTTCAACTGGGTCAAAAATTTACAACTCTGGTCAAAACGGTTGAATATGTAACCTCTAAAAATCTGTTACTATTACACAGAAAACATAAAATTTAACACATAATTATTGTATAGTGAAAATAAACACCCTTTTTTTACTAATTTATCTAAATATCCAATGGATTTTAAAAAAAGTTACAAACTTTCGAAGGCTATCATACGACTATCTATTGCTAATAATTTTCCTTTGTACAAGTCTTCATTATTATTTTCTTTGCTTTGCTAATATGTAATACACTGTGTGTGTTCGACACGTTCGAAAGTACCCCAGTAATTCGTAGCGCCGGGGTTCGGGTCATGTAACGCATGAATTGCGTGATCGTAAATATAAAAGTCTAATATATGAGTGCTACCAAGGGAAAACCACCATAATTCTCGTTGTCACGATTATTCAAACCGTTTTAAACCGGTTCACCCGATTTCAGTTATACGTGTGCAGTTGACCAAAATTTTTATATCACATACATGAAGACTGCGCTGTTAAGAAAATCTCTACACTCATAAATAGTATATAAATATTAGTAATAATACAGTAATGACTTAATTATTGTCACAGCTGATGCTGATTCTGATTTTTGGGTCCCGATGTTGATCCATTGTCTCACTACTGATGAACGATCACAATCACGTGTCACAACGGTCGTAGAATTTGCGCAGAGAACTTGTTTGAATTTATCCATTTCGATCCAATCGTTAAATTCATTCCACCCACATATTCTCTTTTATTATCATCATCAGTCGTGACAATTATTAGAATTTAAACATTTTGAATTCATTAAAAATTTTTTTAATGCAATTTATTTATAAAAACAAATTGTTGAAAAAAACCGTTAATGCATATTCATCCTGATTTAAGAGTTAAAAAAAAGTTAATAAAATCAGTTAACTAATCGAGTCTATTAAATGTGAATCATGTGACATCCGAATTATACATATCTAGGCTATATAAGTTTGAAGTTCTAAAATATATTATACAATAAGCTTGTTAACCAAAATGTAGTAAGATATTTTAACAGAAAAGGGAGAATAAGTAAATGAGTAGCCAAAATGATATAACTGTTTTTGATAATAAAGATTGATATTTAGCTTTCAGAAATGCTAAGTTCGATATGGTGGGTTTACTAAACTTGTCGTACTGCAAATAAGTTTTTTTTTCATTAATGGTAAATAAATTCAAATAGTGCAAATATATAATCAGGAAAACATACCTCGAAGCATTCTTAGTTCCTAAAGAATGTAAAAAGGCATTTATATCGGACTTTTTGTTATCGTTTTTGATTTTCTTTTTTCTTTCACCCATAAACGTGTTTGAAGACTCAATATCTGATGCCACGGATGTATCATGCTCAGATAAATCATTGTTTGCTATGGGTAATCAAACAGAATGAATTTATTATCATTATTATTATTATTATTATTATTATTATTATTTATATTTACCAAGAGCATCCTTAAGATTTTCCACCTTGATAGATGCTTTCGGCAGATCACCAGAACTATCTTCTAAAGTTGTAAATGACGTAATAGTTATACGAGGCCTATCATTCTCCAATATTCTACTTGATCTGATTCGATATCCTTCTTGTTTAACACTTTCAAAACCTTCTTCTGGTTTCCATTCTGTCATTAATCTGACTTCTAAATCTTTACCACCAATGTCAATTAATTCCTTATGTTGACAAAGCATTGATACAATTGTTTGTCGATCAAGCCAAAAATCAACAGGTTGTAAAGTACAATTATTTTCATCAAGAACTTCTTCCTCAAAAGACTTTAATAAATTTGTATCATTTATATTGTTCTCAGATGAAATTGCATTTATATAAGTCGACCATTGACGTTTGTCCATACGTTCAGCTTGAACCTGATACATAAAATAAAATATCATTATTATTCTGTATTACCGTAAAAAAAAATACAATTATGAACATTTAATTAACATTAAAAATTACCCCATCAATATATTCATGTAATTTTGGGATATCTAATACAGAGGCAATATCACGAAAATATAACAAAATGACACTTGCTAATGCTCTTTGCTGAGCAAAGCTCTCAAGACTTTCATCTTTCGCTTCAGACTAGAAATATATATGTAAATTGTAAGAACATACATACATAAGTTTATACATAATTTATATATGATTATCTATTCTTATTACCTGTAATTTGAAGACAACTGGAACACCACGAATTATTTGATCTGCCCTGAATCGAACCAATAAAGCACGTAATAATGATAATAAGGCTACATGATCAGCAGGCTGTGAATTTTTTAACATTGCATATTGATATAGTGACACATGAAGTGAATTTAAGAAATAGATAGCTGGTTTGTTAAAATAAGTTAACTATATATAAAATAGACCATTTAGGAATTTTAATAAAAAAATAATGAATTTATGAATAAGTTAAACATACAATTATTATAATTATTATGAAAGTTAACCTGTGTCGAATCCACTTCCTTCAACTCTCTTGGCATATTACCATTATCCAAAAATCTTGCAAGGACTTGGGCATATGCAATCCTTACACCTAAATTCAAAGATAAAAATTTTAGAATCCAACTAATACTTTTAATTGATTGTAAATAAAATAGCATACCTAGGTCTTCATCCATACATAGATCGATTGAACTATGAAATACCTCCACGGGCACTTCACATCTCGTAATTTCAGAATGTCTTATTTCACTTTCTTTGTTAGTTCTTACAACTATATCTAAACATTTTAATAATGTTTTACGCAATTCAGATAATGGATAACCTTCTATGATTGAACTATGACTACTTCCTTGTTGAGATTGATCAATTGGTTCAGGGTTTATACGTAATCGTTGAATAATATACTCAATGATATCACTAATTTGATTTGCATAATAAATATGAGTTGCCAGGCCACCTATAAATTAAAAAACAAGGAAATTTTAAATTTTAAATTTTTAGAAACATTAATAATGAAAATCAAAGATATTAACCAATGCAGGAGGTGAGTTGTTGACAAATTAATAAATCAGATTCATTAGAATCAGTAATATTATCATCATCATTAATGCCATCACTATTTTTCAAAGAACTCAACAATAAACGAAGTAAACAATCTAAAACTTCAAGTATAGAAAACCCAACAAGAGGGGTATCACCACTCAATATGAAAGATAAGATTTTAACCAATGAGACCTTTTTTGGAGTAGGACTTGATCCAGTTGGCAAAGCTTCTAATTGCTGTATTATGTAATCAACTAGTACGTATCTACATTGTTGCTAATGAGGCAATCGAGTTCACGCATAATAACTTAGTTTAGAATAGCTTAATTTAGATGGCATAATTAAACCACAAATGTCGAACAAATATACCTTGAGAGATGAAAGAATAGTTGAAGCTAAGCTAATAATAAAGTTACTTTGCGTCCACATTGCAGTATCTTCCAAAAAATTAAAAACAGATCCAAGAGAATAATTTATGTAAGAGGGATTAGACATTGTGAATAGTTGTTTCAAACAATTATAAGCCAGGTTTGTATTATCTTCGACTGATATAGTTGTAATATTAGCAGAAAAACGACGTAATCGTCCTGTGGAATCGCTATTAACTAACTCATGATCACTTTTTTTTAAAAAAATAATAATATATATATGTATAGAATTCTATTAATAATTTTATATTATTGAACATTTTAATATTAATACTTACGCATTTTGCAAGGTTTCTAATCTATTCAGATCATCAATTAAATTATATAAAATTGCCGGAACAATATGTTGCAATTGAACTTTAGCGCTAGTAGAATGTAAAGCGTCGGAAGTTATCGCACTTTGAAGAGCATGAATACCAATAAACCGACACCTGATTTTAGAAATTTTAAATTATTTACTAACATGTAATAAAAACAACGTTTGGTGAATAAAAAAGTACCTTCTCTCATCATTAGAATCGGATTCTTTAATGGTCGCGTATTTTGCAAGCAATTCAATTAAACCTTCATAAATTTCAGTAAATTCAGTGTCGACACCAAGCGTAGAACCGTCATAGTATTTGCAGAAAGTAATGAACTAAAATAGTGCCAGTAATTAATATATAATATATATATATACATTTTTTCTTTTTTTTACGTTAATATGTAAAAATAAAACATACTACAGAAGTGGCGCATGCTACCAAATCAATATCACTTGTGCTCAAAGAAGCAGTAATGATCTTTACAATATTTTTTGAAAATAAGTTTAAATTTTTATGACAAGCTTCCAGAAGCGCCTTGATAATTTGTAAAGAAACTTCAGTATCCCTAAAGTAAAAAAAAATTAGTAATAAATCGTAGATCTATTGTGTGAATATACACATATAAACGACTTCTCACTGTTTTCTGCGTTTTTTAACGTCGGTAATTACTCTTTTTTCCAGATAAACACCGCATTTTGTGAGTTTAGCAGGCTTCGAGTTTGCATAAAACAAGAGATAAGAAAGTTCACTAGATCTGGGACCCGTCTCACCGGAATTGATAGGATAACAGTTGTTTATAAGAGTAGCATGCTTGGCCCAACCTTTACATACACCAGCACAAGCCATAATCGAATAAGAGAAAGCTAATCTGAGAATAATGTAAAAGGAAAACGAAAAGAAGGCAGTCTTTTCTAGTCTAGACAAAAAAAAAATCTGGAAAAAATGAAGAGAAAAAAGAGTGTAAGTACTTTAGACGAAAAAGACGGGTGCCCTCCTTGATGACGGGTTTTAAGTTTTGAATAAAGACTAATAATGCTAACTATATAACTATAAGATAACGAATTATTGTGATACACTTTTGCAACTGAAGATAACTATAGAATTGAATAAATATTCATAAATAGTAAACCAATTGGGTGCGATGCATTGTCCATCCTTGAACATCTATTTATCCACCTGTCAAAACTTTAAATACTTGAGGAAACTGTTAATTACGAGACTAGCACCCTACATGCTAAAATTAAACCCAAAACTCTGATCCATCGGATTTTGTAATCGTAATTGTCAAACTACCAGAGATGATATAATTTAGACAATATAACGATAAAGTGATAAAAAAACCGATATAATACTAATCATCACATGGCTTCCGTCGGAATTTTATTTCGGGATTTTGTTTGTAACGTTAAAATATTGGATAAAAAAGAACAGATTATAATTCATCCAATTCAAGACCATATCAGATATCCATATTTGCCAATGAAATATTAGAAATATTAATTATTTAGATAATCGTGATACACAAATAATATCGGATATACGGGTCTATTCATTATTGTTTTATTTCGTCTGACTAATTCATGTTGTATACTGATACAATGAAGCAGAGAGATTTTTATCCATCATATTGTTCAATTAAATCACCAATGTCAAGATTTGAACCTAAAAGCCAGACTGACCAAAAACTAAAATGAATCGAACACTGTTAACAGCTGCTGCAACCAGATGACTTATAGTACATAAAATTCTGGTAGATTTCTAAACAGAACTCCATACGTATACGCAGTGTTGTCACGTCTACTATGTCCAAGACTTTTTAAGACCATGTCCAATGTCCAAGAATGTTCACAGCATATACAAGCTTCAAAAATTAATATATTAATTTAAAAATATATAATTATATATTTTTTTATAATGTTGAATATTTTTATTTAGGAAGTTAAAATAGATTAACTTAATAAAATTTTGAGTAATTTTAATTTATGCGTATACGTACAATTTTTTTCAACGTAAATAAAACGTATTGGTATGGTCAGCGCAAATTAAATTATATAAGCTTCAATTAATACTAAATGTATACTGTATATTACTTAAAATAACTTGTGAATTACAAATTCGGTACAAAGAACCTCTTAAAAATGATCCTGTCTAAGTCAATGACTAATTACTAATTTTATATATATAAATAAATTAAAATTTGTAATTTAACGTTAATTGGTTATTTATATAGTTTTTTGCCTGACCAAAATTTGATACGACAGGGTGAAACCGCGCAGAAATAGTTACGTTATTGACGCAAATCCTACCTAAAATAGTAACTAACCCTAATTAAGTATAGATCTGCATCAAGAAAGTTATCACCTTTCAAGTAAATCGATATACGTATGTTTTTTTTTTAGTAGTTCAAAAAGCTGTGTGTTATCAGTTAAGATCATATGATCTTTAATAGCAATCTTATCTTTCATATATTTGTTTTTTTATTCGAATGATACGTGCTTCGCTTCAGACTAATAAAAAAATAATTGCTTGGTTTTTAATTATTTTATTGATCGTATCAGGAAGATTTGAAATCTGATTATAAGATTGATTTCAACTGATTGATTATCGATTACTAAATCTAAAATTTTCAATTCAATGATAGGGTACATACGTACTCGAAACTAAAACTGGATACATATCAGATTTATCAGACTAAAACAGTTGCCCACTTACGTTTATAGTCGGGTGACCTGGGCATAGTGATGCAGTAGAATCGTCCCAATGATAGTTGTCACATTGCCATAACTTGCAAGTAAAATACATACGACTATAATGCCGTAACGGTAACCTTACGTACTATATTACTTACTATAGTTACAGCAAGTTATGGCAATGTGACGACTATCATTGGGACGATTCTGCAGCATTACCGAATGCCCGATTATGTACTTGCAATCATTGTTTTCATAATGATAAACCGTTAATAGAAATCAAGCAGATTTACATTTTAAAAAAATCAATACCTTAACTTTTACTACGTATTTATATCTCAATGCATTTTGAAGCTATTTTCATGATTGAATAGTCAAAAAAAAACCATAGATCTTAAGCTTTCATTTGACTATTTATTCATGAGAATAGCTTCGAAATTCATCAAGATATGAGTAGTGAAGTTAACTTCACTAAATTTTTAAAAGTACTATATATTATTAATAATTTCTATATTATTATCAATATATAGCACCCTTGTAGGCAGGGTTGACACATTCATTCATTGAGCCCAATGAAGTAGACCTTTATTGACATTGGTCCATTGCTCCATTGAGAATAATTTGTCAATTAAGTCAATAAGTTCAACAAAATACTATGTATTTTTTTTTTTTTTTGGTATTAAGACAAAATATTATGTATTATAAATTATATATTATATATATTATATATTATATATTATATATTTTATTTATAAAATTATTAATAATTTTTGATTCATTTATCCATTATAGATGGTTTAATCATCAAAATGTTTGTCTTAATAAAAAGATTCTGATAAAGTCAAAATTATTAAAATATAATCACAGAATCTCAAGATTTTTTAAATTTTATGTAATTTTAACAAGAGTTTTTAACTTATTAAATTTATACAAAATTTGAGTGATTCTGTAATTGTATTTTAGTGAATTTGATTTTGTTAGAATTCTTTTATTAAGATGAACATTTTGATAGTTATAACATCCAAAATGGATTTGTAAATCAAAAGTTATTAGTAATTATATAAATTAAAATAAATTAGTAATATGTATAAATATAATTAGTTAGTTTAATAGAATTAATAAAGTTAATAGATATTATTCAATTCATTCTATTAGTTTCATTGATAATATTCTCAATGGATTTTATTTATTGTTAATCCTAATTGTAAAATATTATTATAAATGATTACTAATAATATATAACAAAATTTTATTAAATTTATTTAAATTTTGATATTAGTTTTCTCAATAACTACTTATCTAAATCAACCCTAATTTTTACTGTGAATAGTATATATATTCAACTATATGATACTAAAATTTTAATCAATTTAGATTAATTATTTATAATTGTTATATATTAATATAAATCTGCTTAAAAATTTGTTAATGTCAAGGCATTAATTTTTTTAAAAAATAACAATATACTTGTTTTATTAATAGCAACTCAAATAAAAAAAATTACCAATATAATAATAAATGAGTTGATAATTGTATGATCTTTGTTAATGCTTATAACTTGTTACCAAACTCGATAACTTTATTAATTCAATTATTAAGAAAATTTTAATTAGAAAAGCAATTGTAATTTTATGTTTTTCAAGAATATATCTTAAAAATTTGTTTTTAGAAGATGTTAAGATTATTTCTTAAACCGTATTCCAGGCAAATTTGCCTGGAAAATTAAATTGTAATTAGTATTTTTTAAATAAAACAATAATTTATTAATGATATAGAGTATATTTTGCTTATGAAATATATTTTTAAAAACATATTTTATAAACTTTATTATAAAACTTTTTTCAAAATATTAA